TTTTTCTAGCTTTATAGTACGCGTGCATTGCTAGGATTTTCATCTTCAGGATAAACCTCATCCTGAGATGACTCACCAGCAGGGTGATTTCTCTACAAGAGTATGAGAGGAGTTTTGTCACATATAATGTGAGATTGCTTCATGAGCATTTGCTTTTGACTTAGGCCAATAGATCTTATTTGCAGGCATCCACGCATAATTTGATCAAAATGCCAATGTCAGATGGATATGAAATTAATCCCGGATATATCCACATCTACTTTGGGTAAAAGCATTTATTTAGATTTTAACCAATTTGGTTGCTCCTCATCAATACAAATAGTTATCTGGCATAACTCCATGCTATAGAATAGAGGAGTGTAACTAAACAACTAGTTTAGTTTGAATTTGTGCATTTTGATACATAAATATCAAGGCATTTCATAATATGAGCATTCATCTCCCCCTAATGCCGAGATATTTAATAGCATACTAAAATTCTCCATTCACCAACTTCTAGTGGTGTATATGTATGCTTTAGTGGTGGTTTATTTGGGAAATATTACGCACTTTAATATTAGGGGGTCGATTAATTTTTATGCAGTGAGCTTGGACTTTATTAATGCAGTTGCATGAATATTGCATGTGTTTCCTTCTACAGGAGGAGTATACTCAACTTCTTGGTGAGTCCATAACTTCTGGTAGATTATAAACTATTGTTCTGCAAGTTCTTGGTTTCAACAAATGCATACGCAGCCTTCTAGACTTAACACATGTAGTTACTGACGTAACCATAATCTAGCCATAACAATCCTTCAGGGGCTAATGCTCACCAATTGTTATATAATTGACAATCAATCTGTTCATTACGTATATTGACCTTCTAGGTTATATGCATGACAAAAGATAATTAATGGTGGCATTGCGCTTTCAGTTGCGTTAAGCTTGGTGTGCATAAGTATGATAGCAAGAATATGGCATTTAGCCGTAGTTGCCAAGCAAAAATTTGGGATGTAGAATTATTTCATAGTCCAGCTCTTTTTGTTTATTGCCCAAATTTGACCCAATTACTCATACCATTTAGAAAAATTGAGTCATTATATTTGTTGCAACATATTTCGTGTTCTATATAAATCATGACTCGGATCAATTTATTGTTCAGCATGAAGATAAGCTTTTAAATAGAACAATAAGACCAATAATTTTGTTTTATCTAGGAAAAGTTATTTTAATGCAAAGTCATTGACTTAAGCAAAAAAATGGCTGCTTGGCAAAAGCAACAAAGACCAGTATCCTTCTGGGATAGACTCTCAATTGATAGCGCAACTTTGGTAGGTAAAAGATACATGTAAAGAATATCATCGCTAGTAGCATTGTGGTCATGATCCATGTGGCCTTTCAGAGTCTAGGATAGCTACTATAACCGTTATAGTTGGTTAATACCAAGTTAGCATCTAGCTCATTGTGATGTGGGATTTAAACTTGTTTACTTGCTTTCCATCTTCTAGTAGTTGGCAGGTAGATCTTAATAAAGTAGGTGTGATGTGACATATAAAGCACTACTAGCCGATATATTGCCGCATAGAGTCATGCTATATAGCCGTCACTTTCATTTGATCTCCTTTATGGGTGAACCCTTATCATTTGGCTTACTTTCCTTATATACAACACAATGGTTTCTCTTTATGATGCCCACTGTCATTTCAGCAATTGTGGGAACCTCTAATTCTGTGTCCTGATATGCACTTCGGGGCTTCGCTAGTCAAAAAAAAGTATAGTTCTTTTGCACTAATCAGGAAAAAACTTAGAATATCAATTATTTTGGTATTTCTAGCAACTTCATGTTGCCTAGGGGAATATATTAGCTTAAAGTCACAAAATGTTGGTTTGAAACAAACCTCAATTAGGATGGCACCTAATGCTTGTTCTGCAGCAGAGAGACAAGGGCAACATGTTGACTTCAGGTCTTGTGTTCACCCGACTAGTGTTGTAAGCCAATATTATCACGTTTTTTCAAATATACCTAGGCAAGGTATTAGTTTCCCTTGAGGGAAGTTACAAAAGAATTCTAAATTTAGTTGTCTGATATACCGACAAGTCTCATGCTGCATGGTTTTTCTTCAAGTTACTTCGGGTAAAAATAAACCAAAGCATTTAAGAGAGCGCTAGAGAGAGAGAGAGAGAGGAAATGGTCTATATAGTCATACAAGTTTCATTTATTTCCCAGATTTTTCCAAGCATATGTGTTGTTCCAAGGTATTTATATTGGTCTTAGGATAATACTTCGGGATTATATAACCCATAGAAAACATAATCATACATAAACATTGCAAGGAAAAAATAAACCCATATTAAACTTCCAAGGGGGGTCTAACAATTTAACACAAATTTTATGGAAGCTACTAAAAAAAGTACTTCATGTCCAGATAACAAAATATCCCCATACTATATCACCACCCAAAAAAAATTATTCCTGCTGTTATATTTAACTTCAGGTTTTCTTAATAGCAAAAAAAATGCACCATACACTCAAGCTCATATGCAAGATATTGCCATAAAAAACATAAACCTTTGTGCAGATTGGCCGCTTGACGGTGGTATGCGGAAAGCAAAAGGCGAATAACGACGACTTCAGGCGTCACACATGTTGTGTCCGACTTCAAGCAGCATGTTCAACAACAGTACGTCCAGCATGTGCTTGTTAAGACAAAAAAAAAAAAACCGATCTACTATTAAATCTACAGGATTGATCTAGTAGAACTTGAACCACATACGCATGACAGCACAATTCAGTAACCGTGAAAACTAATAACATGCAAATGTGAGCATTATTGATTGTGGTCCGTGGAGCGTACTAATTAAAAAAACACTAGTAGAACACATCGGGTGTTATATATATAAAAAAACTACTAGTCTTGTACGCTTCGGAAGATCTACTAGAAATATTAAAATCTACAAGATTTATAATATAGATCTAGTAGAACAGTAATGGTGAAGAGATTCAACAATAAACCGTGGCACATTCGTTGTTGTGGAAAATTCGTGCCGCGTAGGGCATATAGGCTAGGCCAAGGACCTGCCTATGTGGCGACGAGGTGTGGTCGATGCCGAGCGCTTGCGCACATCCTGGCCGACGGGCAACATGGGGGATCGGTCCAGTGATGTATATGCCGCTGATCACGATGCCTCCGTGTGCACAAGGTGCCTCCGTACGCACAAGATTCATGTAGAAGAGGATCAATCTGTTATTCATATGTGCTGAGTCTGTCTACCCATCAACCATGTATTTTATATAGTTTTAACACATGAATTTTTTTACACCATAAAATTAAGATGCAACAACCTCCATTCTCGTTCTACCTCCTCCAGATAATCACAAATCACAAGATCACAGATCCACATATCACAAGAAATAATTTTTTTCTATGCAAGGACAAGAGGACAAATCGCGTCCAGATCGGAGCGACTGACGGAACGCGGAACGCGCGTGCGCAGAACACATGTGACTGATCGGAGTGAGGGAACGCGACTGCGACTGACGGAACGTGACTGATCGGTCTGATGGAACGTGACTGCGACTGCGACTGATCGGTCTGACGGAACGCGACTGCGACTGCGACTGATCTCCAGTGCCCAGAACGCGCGTGCGCTACAGTTGAAGAGAGAGAGAAAATCCATATGTTTTTTTATGTTAAAACACATGTGTGTTGTATAACATTTCTGAAAAATAAAATATGGAATTATCAGGCAGGGATAATTAAGCCCACGAAGATGGGGCGGCGGCACTGGAGACCATGCATGACTTCGTGTCAGCAGGATCGACGTAGCAGATTGGATCCATGGCTGCTCGCTCTGGCACCTGGCGGCGGGATGGCCGAACGGCCATGCATGAGCACGTGGATGGCTCCAAGGCTCGCGGAATTCCCGAATCGTGAGATGACGCCGGGTCCCATAAAAAAAATCAATCTATTATTAGCAAAATCCAAATAGAGATTGATTATCAAAAGGCAAACGAGATATATGATTTTCATCGCGGCCTTTTTCTTCTAGACCAACATGGACTCGATGCATATATTGCATCGATGCACGCATGCCTTTGCTGATGTGATGTGTGTTGATTAATCAAATCGGAGTTTGATCCTTCTCCAACGTAGAGGTTGTGGCCGATGATGTAAACATTGCCCACGGCCAGTTGGCGGCGCTCAATCAAGAGGCACGAGTCAAGGCGTTGGGAAAAAAAATCAAACCACGATTAGCATCATATTTCAAGATTCATAAATCAACAAATTAAGAACGTCTCACCCAGTTGGAAGAGCTGCTGATAACGTGTTAAGAATTGGCCTATTCACGGATTGGCAGATTCGTTTCCTGTTCCCGATCGCAAGAAAGAGACGCGTAGAAGTAGTAGATAGATTCGGTCTCCCTCTCCCATCCTCAAGAACAACGCACAAAAATAGACAGGAGACAAGTACATGAAGGGAGCAATCGCTTTTCATTAATCCATATAGATGTACATGTAGTCCCTTTATATAGATGCCTTCAGGGTATATATGGTATAAGCCCATCAGGGCATATATGGTATGAGCCCATCAATCCTCTAATTGAGGAATTCTTAACAGTAACAACATTGGTGAAAACATTATTTGTAGTTGTGCGTCGATAACGAAACAAATGCGTTGCTACGCGGTCCACATACCAATTGATATGGTAAGTCAAGCAATCCACAATTATGCATATAATGCCAAAATTCGTAATTTTATTTTGTGTCATGGTAAATATATTGTCCTCTATGCTATGGATTAACTTGGACATAACACAAAAGCAAAAAAACAAAAGTTTCAAAAAAAATAACACAAAAGCAAACAAAACCCACATAAAACACATGAAATTCCCGCATATAATTAAACTCGAACATCATAAACAAACTTATACATGCATAATGTGCATTCTAACTAAAGCTACGGTCTATTCTGAAAACTAGGTCTTCCTTAAATAAAAAATACTGTAGCTAGTGTAGTAATCTAAACTAGGCCTACGTAGTCCAATTCTACAGATCCCAGCCACAGCTGCCCGTCCTTCTCAGAGACGTCACTCAGTGTCACACCCTTGACCGCCGTCAGCTCCTCCACCGCAGTGCCATCTACGCCAAGCCGGACGCCAACGAGATGCTTCATTGGAGGTGCCGTCGCGTCGAGCCGTGCCTTCTCCTGGTTCAGCGCTACCCAGTAGCCGCCCCTGGCGTCGCGCCTCACGTTGTCCGGGTACCCAGGCAGGTCCGCGAGGAGCTCGTACTGGCCGGCCTTGGGCCCCTTGAGCCAGTACCTGAACGCCTGGCACGGCACGGTGTGCGCCACCACCACATGTGTCCTGTCCGTGCTGACCGCCACGCCGTTGGGGTACGGCAGATCGGCCTTGAGCACGGTGACTTGCTTCGTCCGCGCGTCGTACTTGAGCAGCCGCCCCGTCGCATCGGCGTTCATCATAATCTCGGTGTTGAACCTGCGCGGGTAGGTGGTGCTGCTGTCCGTAAAGTATACGTCCCCGGTGGCCTGGTCGACGTCGAGCCCGTTGACGAAGTGGAACGGCACGCCGTCCGCCGCTTGCGTCGCCAGCACCTGCGCCTCGCCGCCGTTGGGCCCGACCTTCATGAGCCCCATGTACGCGTCGGCGATGTAGAGATCACCGGTCATGGCGAAGAACTGCAGCCCAAGCGGGCGGCCGCACATGCTCTCCGTTTGCTCCGACGGCCCCACGGACGCCGTGCACAGGGGGATCTTCCGGTAGTTTGCGCCGTGGGCGAACGTGGTCCAGCCGAGTGCGCTGCCGCCCCACTTGAGGACGCGGCCGTCGGAGACGCCGGCGTAGGGGCCCTGGCCGCGGCGGTCGAAGGCGAGGCTCTCAGCGCCGGTGACCCCGTCGGGCAGCGGCAGGTGGAAGCTCCAGTGCGTGGGCGTCGTCTTGATCGGCTCGGCGGCGCAGAACGACGCTGTGAGCAGGAGCGCGAGGGCGACGGCGAGTAGAAGCGACGCCGCACGTTTGATGCGCCCCATCTCGATTGCGTTGTCAGTTGGCCGATGGAGCTACGTACTTTGCTTTGATGCGATGGCGAGACGGGCAGGTAGGTGCCGTTTTATAGGCCTGGCGGTGCGCGGCGGCCGTGTCGGACTCGGATAGTCGGATGCGGCCTCGTCCTTGTTTTCCTTTCCAGGCTCCGATCCAATGTGTTATACGACTCCACTCTCCACCTCGCCTCCGTTTGTTTGCCGCTGTCCTTGTCCGACTCGCTAAACTGATTCACGGGGGTGAGAATGTTATGCGTAACGTGTTTGTTTTTGAATTTGAAAAAATTTACAGCTCCTGTAATGTCAATGGAAAGAGCAGAACTGAAAGATCACGTCGTCCTCGTCCATGCTAATCCTTTAATCCATTAACGTGCCTCCAAGTCAGAGACGGAGACTTTGTTGATCGACGTCGACGGCTCCCCTGCTGTCTCCAATGGCTTCTTTATGGGGACTACGAAGGCCGGCTTGGTTGGCGGCGACATTGTGACGATGCGGTTTCTGAACATGAGGAGGACGGACGCCATGCGGGGCCGGAGCTGCGGATCCTCCTGGACGCAGAGCAGCACGATGTGGATGCACCTCAGCATCTCCAGCCTGTCCGGCTCCTCCGCCGGGTAGCCGTCGAGAAGCTGCAGCACGCTGCCGAGGCTCCAGTGCCTCCAAACCTGTCCGTGCGGCCGTGCCCGCCCATGGCCATACATACATGATCAAAATTGAGTCGCCATTGCAAGAAGAAATAATGTTAGCTAGTACACATAAAAAAAAGGTAGTGATGCGTGTTCTGATTTGAAGGTTACAGCTTACCAAGCTTAGCAGATCTTCAGAAGCTCGCCGGCCCGTGACGATCTCCAGGACAAGGACGCCATAGCTGAAAACATCTGACTTGGTAGAGAAGATGCCGCGATAGGCGTACTCTGGTGCCATGTATCCGCTGCATTTCGGAGACACAATGGCATGTCAGGATGCATGTACAAATGGCGCCACGTATATACCCTTATCCTTTCTTCTATTGGAAAAATTCAGACACTTTGAGGAAAAGAAAAAGGAAGAATTGAGAACTTGGAGACGCCAAATTACTTACTAAGTTCCAGCAATATGTCTTGTGTTTTCTACGCTTGATTCGATCTTAAACAGATTCGCCAAGCCGAAGTCGGAGATCTTGGGGTTCATGTCTGCGTATAGCAAGATGTTGCCTGGCTTGAGATCACGATGGATGATCGTCAGCCGTGAATCCTCGTGAAGATACAGAAGCCCTCGGCTGATCCCTTCGATGATCTTGTACCTTTGCCCCCAGCTTAACTGCTGTTGCGTTGCAGGATCTGAAAGTTTGGTTTAATTTACTTCACTTGGTAAACAAATGTCCGAGTGATATGATATGAAATGATATATAGTAGGGTTAGGGTCACTGATTCATGCACCAAAAAGGATTTTGTTGAGGCTCTTGTTGCTGAGGAACTCGTAGACGAGGAGCTTCTCTTCTTCGTCGATGCAGAAACCGAGCAGGCGAACCAAGTTCTTGTGCTGGAGCTTTGCAACGAGGACAATCTCGTTTTTCATTTCCACAAGTCCTTGCTGTGAGATTGTCGACAGTCTCTTCACTGAAATTTCCTGCCCATTTTGCATCGTACCCTGAAGAACATTGAGGTCAGACTATCATGTGTTTTGTGCTTGTTACCGCTGTTAGCAGAAAGACTATTTGGCATGTTGGGCATTTTGCTCAAGTTTAATTTCGGGCTGCAGGATTGAAGTTACTTTGTAGACCGGTCCAAAACCGCCTTTCCCGAGCATATTTTCTTCTGAAAAGTTGTTAGTGGCAGCTCACAGAGTACCTAGATCATACTGGAGAGTTTCTGAACTTCTCATTTCTTCGTCATCTCCATACCCTGTTTATAAGCTCGAGGAAATGAAAGAGTCAGCTCAAATCTGAAGGTTACAGCACATTGTTCTAAAGATACGCTGAAGTTGTTTCAGCACATACGTTTCTTTGTAGTTCTGTTCTTGCAGATATAGACACCAAGAAGCAGCAGCAGTGTGAGAGCAACAGGAACTGAGACGAGGAGAGCTGTATTCCTGACCGTGCGCCGACTGCTTCCTGGGCCTGACGTGGTGGAAAATTCAGAACGAAGTTGTTTCAACCTTCTTCGAATATTTTTTTAATGCCAGGAGCTCTCTTTTTCTAGAACACGACTTCACGTGTATTTCATTAAGAAGAAGTAGCACAAAGAGTTCATTGCCATCCGAAGGCGAGATGCCTCGATGGCGCCGGTACAAACCACCACGCGGAAAAAGTAACGTACTACATGATGAAAGATTTTGCGACAACTAGAAACGGCCTCTAAGGCACCATCTCGGCCACCATGAACAACGAGAGTGCCGTAAAGCCCACGGCGATCCACTTGTCCCCTTCCTCCATCACCTTCCGCGCTGCCTGAGCCGCCGTGCAGGCCACATTGTCGAAGACACGGGAGTTGCATTCCTTCCATTGCCGCCAAGAGACGAGAAGAATTGCCGAGTCAAACCCCTTGCGCAGTTCTGTAGGCACCTGACATCATGCATCCATCCACCAGACCAGGAGTGTCGTCCCCGGCAAAGGAGTGAGCCGATCCTAGTCAAAGCGACGCCAACAGGCAGTTGCACAGTTCCTTGCGTAGACGCAAGAGATAAGCGGGTGATCAATCATTTCGTCCTCCTGGGCGCAGAGCGCACAATCCGCCGTATCCTGAAGAGGCATGCCTCTTCCTACGGTCGGCCGTCCAAATACGACCGTGCAAAGCCAACCAAAAGAAAAGCTTCACCTTCGGCGGAGCCAAGGACTTCCAAAGCTCCTTGGCTCCCAACAGCGAAGACATACCAAGGAAGAACGACCGGTATGCTGAGGATGCGGAGTAAGAGCCATCCGGCGTCCATCGCTAGACGAATCGGTCGCTCATGAAATCAGATCCCATTAGTTCATTGATCATGGATACAGAGAAATCATCGACTTTGGTTTCCTGAAGACAAACCACAGAAACACGTTCTTGGACAATGATGTCCCTAACAGTAGTGCGACGTGCCCGGCTGTTGAGCCCATGAGCGTTCCATACTAAGAACTGATTGTAATTCATGATAACTAGAACGCGCAACGAGTGACGAGCATCAGTTAGACGTCGAACGCCAAAGCAACCGCTTGGCGAGCTCCCACCGGGAATAGCTCGCGCATGGCCGCGCGCTTGGAGGAGGATAAGGGCTCCTTGAAGGTTTAATGAAACCTGTCGGCGTAGGAGGCATCGGGACTTTGCGGTGGAGATGACCTCCCCGCCGGCCTCCACTTTCGCAGCATGACCTTCTTGGCCTGAATCTCTGGCCTCGGGTCGCGAAGGTGCATCATGGATGCGATACGCGTGCTACATTGAGGGACCACGGGGCTAACCCGACGGGAGGCACGACGGATCGGAGTGGAGTCGATGAGTGGCTCCTACAGGGGAAGGCATAGGGAGTCGATGAACTCAGGCAGCGACGTTACCGTGGTATGCACGGATGGCGCCAGTGCCTGGACGCCCAAGGACATAGCCGTCGGTGCCAGGTTTCCCAGCGACGCAGGCTCCTCGGACCCCAACTCATCATCGACAATGACCAGATCTGACCCCAACTCAACATCAACGACCAGATCAGGGACATCAGAGGCAAGCCCATCAGGCCTTATAATTTCATCAGCTACTAGATCAGAGGCAGGCCCATCAGACATTGTAAGCTCTTGCTCATAGCCCTGGTGGCGTTCCTGCCCAGGGCCGGCCCAGCCTAGAGCGGACTCACATATCGGATCCTAGGAAGGGAGCGGGCTCAAGCCGTCTCCGCTCATGTTGGGCTGCATCAGAAAACTTGGCCCATCACGGTCCAAGGTTCATCCACACAGGGAGCCCACAAACAGCGATGGGTCCTCACAGGGAAACTTTCCTAGGAAGCCCGGGGCACCGCCGCACGCGTCGCCAACAGGGAGAAGGCCGTCGTTGCCTGCACTGTCGCGCTGGACCCCTGTCCCTGGCCGAAAGAGTGGCAGGGTCTGCTCAACCAACATTGGGTCCATATCAGCGCCCATGCCGTCCTCGAATGCGTCCCCGAGGCAAGCGACAAGCCCAGGCGAGGGGTCAAAGCTGTCCGTGCCTAGCTTTTCACCTACCCAAATGAGCACAGGACCTGAATTGTCGTAGAACCCGGCACGCATGGCACGCCCACCCAGAATCAGGCAGACCACAGAGCCAATGACCAGCGACCTCCCTGCTGAAAGGTCCTAATGGCTAGAGGGGGGTGAATAGCCTATAAAAATTTCTACAACAACACTAAACAAAATAGTTAGACAATTATGAGGCGAAGCAAATGTTGCGCTAGCCTACTAAAATACAAGCCACCTACCACAATTCTAGTCTCTATGATCTCTAGGCACACAAAGGCTATGTCACTACACTAAGTTAGTGAGCTCTCAATGACTAACTAAAGAGACTCACTAACCACTAGATATGACATAAGCTAGCTCTCAACACTAATTACACTAAAGAGTTTAGCTACACTATAAATGTAAATGCACAAGTGGTTGAGATGTTTATACTGCCGTGTAGAGAGGTGTGCCAATCACAAGATGAAGCCAATCAATTACAATAGAGTCCCGGTGACAAGAGGTGACACAATAATTTTTCACCGAGGTTCACTTGCTTGCCGGCAAGCTACTCCCCATTGTGGCGATACACTCACTTGGACGTTCACGCGCTAATCGGCATCACACGCCAAAATCTCAATAGGGTGCCGCACAACCAATACAAGATGAGGATCACACAAGCCACGAGCAATCCACTAGAGTACCTTTTGGCTCTCCGCCGGGGAAAGGTCAAGAACCCCTCACAATACCACGATCGGAGCCGGAGACAAGCACCTTCCTCCGCTCGATGATCCTTGTTGCACCAAGCCGTCTGGTGGCGGCAACCACCAAGAGTAACAAGCGAAATTCGTAACGAAAC